GCATTTACATATCCAACACCTAAATTTCACTTTTACATTTATGCCACCAAAACATTTAGTCTCATAAAAATTATCACTAAGGTCCACCAACACAAGATCATGAGACCCTCTTTTTCGATCAAGTGAAGCTCTCTGAACCGAAGCCAGTAACGTCAAAGATGGCCGAACCGCGAGACATACCAAAGAAGAATATAAGAAGCCTAAAGACATCTAGCCTCTCATCAGGGGCAAATGATCGACGACCAAACCATATCAACTGGCCAACTCATAACAACAAAACACATCCGACCGAATTCATCCTATTTAATAGAGTTGATCTCAATCGGTCGAAATAGACCAAATTGAGCTTAGTCAATTGAGCCAGAGAACAATAAAATGATAAGTCCATACATGTAAAATATCAAGAATAACATATACATCCTGATTTAAAGCAGGGACAAAAATACAACATCATCACATTATACCCACTTCCCTTTAAATACATATTTTGTTAGCAATGACAACATTTGTAACATACAATTCATACTAATGAAATTATTCAACTAATTCACATATATATATATATATTGTTTAGATGCAAGGAGTTTTGAGGAAGACAAAATGAAATAAAAAAGATTGAAAAGCTTAAATCAATTGTTGTGATTATTCATAACCAACCATAATTTGTTGAAATTTTACTCCAAAACGCTTCAATATAAAAAAGCTAAACATGGACCAACATAAAATAGTTGTGGTGGATCAACACACCTTTGCAACTTGAAGAACAAGGAATACAATCCAAACAACAACTAGAAGGCCAAGTTCCTTCCAGCAAACATTCTCTGTGACTGAAACCTGGAGTGATTAATCATGTTAAGGCAGCCACTACGAAACATATATCAGAGAAAACCTCATCTTTCTGAAATCACCTCTGCTTTTCTAGTCTCTTTAATCAGCAACTTGGTAGCAGTGCCACCTGGTCCAGCAGGTAGGGGCTTGTAGTCTTCTCCTTCATTCCCTACACATATATAATCAAAATATAAACAACCATGTTTAATAAAATTCTACCAATCATAAAAAGGTACTAATTGTTCCTTAGATTACCAGTTGCATTGGCTTGCTTGGCAGCTTCCTGTAACAGAATTTAGATACTAATGAAATTTAGCTTGTTAATTTGCAATTTAGAAGCCAAAGGAGCAAGCTTTAGTATGCAAAGTAAACCTTCTTCATTATTGTCTCCTTTTTCCAAGTTTCTACCCCTTTCATGAAAGCCTTGGTTGATGTTCCTGCAACAAAACATTGCTGAATTCTTGAAAACTCTGAATCAAGTTCATTTTGTCAGATTTGAGAAGCAGATTTACCTATAAACAATATAATAAGGAGAACAGTCACCATCCAATCAGCAAATAGAACATTGAAGGCAACTCCAATGCTGATTCCAAGCATAAGCATTGGCTGAAACAGAAGAGCCAAATCATAGTCGATGATGGGCATATCTATGGTCGGATGACGAATCTTGAGATTATAGTATACAGTTGATCCTGCTGCTCCCATGATCATAACTGCCCAAACAGTTCGCAGCTATCAGCATTTGAAATTCAAAAAGCAAAATAAAAAGAATTAAATAATCAAATATTTCTGAGAGTCCATTCTGCAAAGATACAACAAAGGTAGGACTTTACAGATTCCATGAGTTACTGATTTTGTATTTTAGTTGGTTATCAGGAAAAGTTTCTTTTTTTTTTTATATCGATTAAACCTAGCATTAATGTTTTCCAATCAATGCAACAGTTACACATGAACTTTCAGCTACACTCAGCAGGATCTTCCATTCATATCACTCCGAAAAAAGTATTAAACAACTGATTTGGAAGCAAGATTCAATCTTTTTTCAAACATCACAGGGCAGAGATGAAAAGATACAAACTTTCTCACATTTAGAAATGGCCGTAGAAGATTTGGGATCAAATCCGATGATAAGAGTGAGCATGGGAACAAAAATCCCACCACCACCCACTCCTCCCACACTTCCAAAAGCAGCTCCAAAGAATCCAATCAACGACCCCAAGATAATCCTCCATCCAAATTCCATCGGCTTTCCAATAACGAAAAAAAAAAAACATTTCTTTAAGCATGAATTGCAAAACCATACTAAAAATGCTATTTTTAACCATCTTCTCCTTTCATTACCGGCCAAACATGCTGATAAGAGAACTCATTCGGCTGCCACAAGAAGTTTACCACAGCCTGCAGGTAATCCTGCGCCGTCTCCACCTCCGCCATTCGCTGGAAAATCTCTCTCCGCCGCCGCTACTTGCTTCGTTTCCGATCAAGTTATCAAATACTAAAAAATAAAATAAAATAAAGAAAAGAAGCCTTTTGCAGTTCTCCCCATATCTCAGCTCGCTCTTCCATGAGAGCGATTTTCTTATATGAGGATGAGGATGTGATGGAGTTCGGAGCGGAAAAACCCATGACCTCTGTTGAATTTACAAATAGTGCCATTCATCGGATGCTCGTTGCAGATTAATTACACGAGAGTTCGTGATTTGGTGGAGTTGTGTGGACCCGTAATGGGGCTGTGAAGATTTATCATATGTCCGCGCGCCGTGCGGGCGGCCAAGTGGGAGTACCCAACCAGCAGAAGCTTCCACCTACCCGTGGTGCTGCTATTTAATTATGTGTGAATGTGTTTAGTGAGATCAGAGAATAGTATTATATTATTACTAATCATATTAATACTTAAAATTCAACTATGGTAGGCAAAAACTAAGGGCTTTTACATATACACCATCCATTTCTTATGTTTTACATGTCTACCGCCTAAATTTTGCTTCGCTTTTTTATTTTTAAGCCACCAAAATTTCTAATATTGATATCACTATTTTAATTTAAAAAAAAAATAAAATGTATTTTCTTGTATAAACAATTATATGTAAAAATTAAAAATTACGTGTGGTATATTTATAAATCTTTCATTTATTAATTAAAGTTACATAAATCTATTATACTCGATGTGTGTTGGAAAATTTGTGGTGGTAAAGTAATGGATTGTCATCTTAGCATTACGCGAGAATTCAGCATAAATTCAGGTAAAAGAAAACAACCAATAATGATATATGAAGTTTTTATATGAAAAACACTTAAAAGGAAAAAAATCACGGGGTTTGATACATATATAAAAATTCACTATAGGTTGATTACAGAGAGCTCTATTCCCACACACAAAAAAGAATTATTAGGTTTTTCAAGTTATTACGTTGACTAACAATTTTTGGTAGGAGGTGGTCGACTGTGATTAGTAGTGATCGATAGTGGTTAGCTGTCGACGACTGTTGCGTTCTGCGATCGGTGATCGCCTGCGGTCGGCGATTGTCAATGATTTCGATCAACGGTGATTGGTGGTGCTAGACTTCAGCTCCTTAAAGCTTTAAGTTCTCTCGAGCCTCCAGCCCCCTCTGATGAGAAGGGTTGTGCTCTATTTATAATTTTTTGGGCGCAATGAATGCATGAATATGAACCACTTTGATTGGACTGTCCAGAGAGCTTCTTTTGGTCATACGATGTTTGCTGGGACATTTGAGTGCCTGAGCGATGTCAGAATTGAGCAATCCTGGGCTCATTGGATTCGTCGTGTCGAGACGCTTGATTTAATTATAAGCTTGCTAGATTCGACATTCGTTTAACCTTCTGAATATATCCAGAAAACTTTCAAGTTTGGTTTAATGACTTGATCTGAGGTTGATTTGACTCGGATTGAACTATTTTCCGTAAAATTGGGTTCTTCTTGTCGAGATGCTCAATTTGACTGTAAGTTTGTTGAAATTAGAATTATGGATGAGTTTTTTATCGAGGTTTAAATATTTGTCACTCAAAAAGTCATCTCGAGATGTATGTTATGCATTCAGATACATATCGAATGATAGAGATTTGTTGAAAATGTATCACATATAAATAATAGTATAAATCATGAATATTTTAAATATAGAAAAAATAAATAGTTGCCTTTCCTCAAATTAGATTTTCATAATATAGACAAATTAATAATTAGATTATCCTGAATTAGATTACCTAATTTCAATTTTTTTAACATACACAAATTTTAAATTATAACAATTAGATTTTAATATTTTTCATTACACCTCTTTCATCTATTTTTAAAATTTTCACCTTAATGTCAAAATTCATGATAAAACTGCCAAACTTATATTTCCTATTTTTATCAAATTCTTACTGGTTTGGTGGAGACACGAGTAAATACATCAATTTGATAGTTCAAAAAATCACTTGAATATTTTATTCACACATATAAATGTTTCAAGTACTATGGGATATTTGATTTCCTATATTTTGATTTTCAGTATTTATAAGATATATAAATCAATTAAATTAAATAAATACCCTTGATTTAATTTGGGAATGTTTTTATTGACCTCATTTTTATGAGGCCTGTCTCTGTCTCTCTCTAGAGCCTAGGATTGAGCAATAGGACTTTCTTGCTGGGACCCACACCACTTCGAATATTCAAATCACTTCTTAACTTCTTCTAGTCTCATATATGTGGTTTTGAATCCTCAACATTTAGTTGAGTCGATTAAAACCAACATATTGAAACTCAAACTGAGTTCCTAAAGGATTGGAGAAGTCCTAAGAAGACCATTCAACGTATGTCAAGAGCCACGCTGCTGTAATTGTTCTGCTAGACTTCGACTCTCTCCTAGGCAAATACTGGCCAACATTTTGCTTCTGAGACGACTCTGATTGGATAGACCAATATCGTTCGCTGCGCTGCTTAATAAACTGGCTCAAATTGGCTTGATTGCTGATGAATTTGTCCAGACGACCCTCAATGATGAAACAGACCGTGCAAGTGCGTCCGTAACTTAGAATTTAACTTAAGAAGACATCCACATTGTTATGATTTCATGTATGTGCAAATAACAAACATGTCTAAACATTCAAAATTAAATATTTAAAAAATATCTATGTAAGAAAAAAAGAAAATTAGCCTTAAAAACTCACGTGCCCCCTCTCCCTCTCCTTCACGATAACTATCACACTGTCTCCTCCTTATCCTCTCATTTACATGCCCTAGCCAATCCATCTCCTATGAGACTGAATTCTACGCATACCTTACCCTGACAAGCCCTCCCTCGTGTGTCCTAACCGACAATACCCTAACCTTCCCCTCTCCCACATGCAACATTGTCTCGGCCAGGACTTCACCACTAGTAGCTTTTGAGACAAGCTATCTTCCTTCTCTGGCTATAAATACCCCTCCAACAGAAGCCCTAATCGACATCTCCAATTTTTTTGGTTGTGTAGGACTCTATTTTCCCTTCTCCGATCATTCAAAAGCAAAACTTCTTTTCTTTTCTTTCAGTTATTCAGGAGTAAGGATCTCTTCCTCTTCTTCCTTTTCGTTATTCGGTTGATTAGTGGATTACTTCATTCAACAAGGGCTTTTTTCTTTCTTTTCCTTTTTTGATTTCTTTTTGATTAAATTGCAATAAACTTCAAGAAAAACGAAAAAGAAACATGGTGAATTCAAACCCTCACTTCTTTAATTGAATACATAGATATGTAATTTGATTAAAATAACATAATAATCATATGAAATTTGCAAGTGCCACTAAGGAATGATTATTTGATATTCATTCATGTTTAGAATTCATTTAACGTGATTTAATTTCCTCTAAATTTTGTTACATGTTGTCGAAACCAAGCTAACTGAATAAGCATTTCTAAATGAACTTATGTAAATTATTGCCATCTCATGCTATTGTTAGTCCCACATTTGGAAATCCAAATGTATGCCATATGATCTTATACGTGCTTGCATATTAAACAAGTGACTTCCATTGGCTTTACATATTTATCACTTGGTTCATACGTAAACAACTCCATTAATGGTATCTTTGGCTCGACATAAAATTCTAGTGGGTAGAAATGTGAAAAGTAAAGTTTATATGATGTATGAATGTATAAGAATCAAGAAGTTTATTGTTGGGCACAATATAAGTGTTATGGTTATTATATTTTGTGCTATTTGTACACTTAGTATGGTTTAGTTTTGTGTATTTTATTAATTCCTTTATTTGACAATGTATTATAATGAGAGTTCTAAGTCATAACATTTAAGGAAGCTCAATGTGACGCATTGCACGTGCAATTCATCTCCTCTCTCAGCGGAAAAAAAAAAAATATTACGTTTGGAGTCTGGATGCAAGCTGTGTCTAGAGAATGGTTGCGATCCATTGGAAGGAGCGGAAGAGAAAAAAAAAAAAAGTCCATTT